AAGTACTGAAAATATTTTCTCCTAGCCTGTTACCTTTCCTTTTCAACTTTGTTTTGGGGCCAACCTCAGACCAAAAAGAGATGGTTTATACCTGTGTGTATGCCAAAGCCAGCAGCGTCACGGCGGCCATCTTGGTCCTTCGAGGAAGGGGGATTCTCCAGGACAGGAGGTAGAGCGCCGTAATGGCAGTAACTGAAGTGATTCCCTGCAAGGAGGAGAGTCTCATCAAGCGCAGGGAAGAAATGTCCCGCCTCCTGGTTTCTGCTCACCTCACCTGTATCTCCTCCAGAACCACTCGCACTTTGTAGCGCAGGCAGAGAACCACCTGCAGTTCCCCGATTACTGTTTCGCAGTCTTTCCCGCTCCTCTTCTGCTTGCCACTTACTTAAACATTGGTGTTCCCCAGGGTGCCCCCTAAAGTTTCTGCACGGATCACTTTATACACACTCTCTCTGTGATCTCGTCCACCTTCCAAGATGGGTGTCACCCAGGTGTGGCCCTCACGTTTTAAATCATTCTTTGCATCCTTCTCCCTAATTGTATCTCTATTCTAAGCCTGTGTTTTTAAAGCAGGGCTGACCCCAGCACATAAGGTTATTATTTTACTGGGCTGTGACTAGAGGAAGTGGTGGTGCTGCCAGCTAGAGTTTAAAAAGATCTTAAGTCTCATTTTCATTCCCGCCCTTCAGAATGGGGGTCTGGGAGCGGGTATAGGGTCCCCTTCCCCCTTTCATGAGGTCAAGGAGAATGTTTTTCTGTATTTCTACATCTATCTCATTTTTTTCCTTTTCAGAGCTGTCCATGATGACAATTTCAACTAAACTTTATTCCAAAATGTGTGGTGGTGGGGGCTGAGCCCAACAAGCTAACTTGCACAAGCCCCAGCATCCCCCTTGGAAAACTGAGTCCAGTGGGCCTCTCTCTTAGGATGTACTACTGTCCTCTCACATTCCACATGCCTCAATCTGATGACATCCTCCCATCTCGGGCTCAACACTCATTCCAATAGTCCCAGTTTAGTTGGTCGTGTTTTAAGCACTCCGCAGAAGAAACGTGTGGATCTTCCTTTGATCTTTCTTTACCTTCATCTCTACAGCCAACCGTCTGTCCTTACAACCTCAGGTTCCCCATTCTTCTCAAGTCCCGCTCTCACCTGCATTACTACAATACAGCTATTACTTCTCACTGGCCTCCTTGTTGCTGATCTTCCCCTGCTCCAGTTTATCATGGCCAGGCTACCAGGACCATCTTAACATGACCCAGAGCAGACCCTTAATAAATATTAGCTTAGATAAAACCAAGTATTTATCACGTCCTTGGCTCTCTGGGGTGCTGGTTCAGCTCTGATAGCTACGTGGTCAGCAACCACGGTCTGTCTTTGCACTCTCCTCTCTCCTAAGCCTCGTTTCTGCTGAAATGACTCTCCTGTGTGTGCAGGATGGAGGGCAGTTACCATTTGCCAGGTGGTAAAAAGCATATTCAAACTTTAATAAGCTGGCAGTATCCTGCAAGCCAGAATTTGGCTGGAGGGGGTGTGGGTAATTAGGTGATCAGGACAAAAACAAAGTTCTTGTAAAAAGAATAGGAAATCTAATCCCCACTCTGCCCTCTCACTGTTGCCATCCATGTTGCAGACACCCCAAGCCTGTGAGGGGCTCCCTTTGCTGAACAGCCAGGAACCACCAGCCAGACTTACCAGAATCCGGTGATCAAACTGCACCATGGTGGGATTCTCAAAGACGTTCTTCAGGATGGGGGAAAAGGTAAAGAGGTCCTCTGGGATCCAAGACTCTCCCATCTTGGGGAAGGAGTTGTAAACCAGCCCAGCATCCAATCCTGCCACAAAAGCCCCTGTATGCCAAAGTAAGTGGTATTTATTAAAATGAGACCAAACACTACTCTGACATAGAAAAAGTTTATTATCCCCGATTTAGATAAAAGAGATAGAGAATAATAAATAGATTTACTGTAGGGGTTCTCAAACAGGGTATACACATCACAATCGCCACGATACCTTAAAAGAAAAGCAACTACATCCTCACTTGCTCCCACTCCAAATTTCTGGCACGCCTCCCCTGGAGGAGTGGATGAGAAGCTCTAGAGAGAGGCACCTTAGTCTAGAAACATTCCCTTAGTGACTGATACCCTCCTTACCTCCCACGGAGAACAACTCATCTATTCTGGAAATGTTCTTCTCCTAGATATCTGCATAATTTACTCCTTCATTTCCTCGCGTCTCCACTCAAAAGTCACCTTATCAAAGAGAACTCCCCAGTGATCCTACATAAGACGGCACTCCCCCACGCCACCTCTATCCCTTATTGTGCTTTATTTTTATTCACGGTACTGAACACTGTCTGACCTATTATGTTTTTATTGTTTATCTGTCTTCCCCAAGTGCTCAAAAAATGCTTGTTGAATGAACAATGAAAAAAAATTATTAACTAAATCCTGGACAGACACATAAAGAGGGTATTCATGAATTAATGGATGACTAACCCATTACATGCGATCAAAGAGGATTCAGGGATGTTTAGATCCCATTCCTTATTTTTGTAGATGCCATTTATAAAGTCAAAATTCACGCTCTTCCACCAAAAAAGAGGGGGGACGGTGGGTAGATCACTGGTTTGATGGTTTTATTTTAAAGCAGTGCTGTCCAACAGAACTTTCCAAGATGATGAAAATCTGCCATCCTATTAAGCCCTTGAAATACGGCTAGTGTGACTAAGGAACTGAATTTTAAATTTTATTTAATTTTAAATAATGTAAATGTAAACAGTCACATGAGACTAGTGATTATTGTATTAGATAGCACAGTTCCAGAGTGAGGGAAGTAGAGGTATGATTTAAAGACTGAGATCTATGTTGGTCTCGTCTTCCCAATGAACTCTTCTCCTTAGACCATCTTTGAGGGCAGGCCTTTTGTCTGACCCATCCTGGTGTAATGTAATAATAATAAAATAATGTTAACATAATAATAACAGCTGACACTTATATAGCTTTTGCTAGGTACTGTTTTCAGCACGTCACATATATTACTCATACTATTATCGTCACCCCCATTTTACAGATGAGATCACTGAGGCCCAGAGAGGTTCCACAGCTTGTCTAAGGTCATATAGTTCATTGGTGGTGAAGCCAAGATTTGAGCCTAGGCAGTCTGGATCCAGGTAGATGCTCGACATTTTCTTCAACTGTCTGGAAAGCAGGATTTTTAGGAGGGAGGAAGGAACAGAAAACAGGGTGAAGATGTGAAAGGGAAATGTGAAGATCTAGGGAGAAAGCGACCCCACCTGAGAGTGGAATGAAAACAGGCCATCTTTGATGAGACCAGTCCTACCTGAGAGAGCTGTAAGGAACACCAAGCCTGCTGTCCCATGAGCAAATCGTCTCAACCGTAGGAGTTGACGGGTTTCAGGCAACTAAATAGAAAAGAAAATAACTCAGATTAACTCTACTGCAGGAACTACAAGAGGCAGCAAAGATCTCCAAGGCCAAACCCAAGTGACAATGAGGTCAGACCATTCTGACTTTTAGACTAGGCTAGGTACGCCCAGCAGATACTCTGTTGTGACAT